GGCTCCTAGCATGTACCAGGGGCAGCAGTGGTGGGATGGGTAGAGTGCACAAATTAGAGTCAGGAAACCAGATTTCAGACCCCAGTCACCTGAGGCACAGGCCAGTGAGAGCGTGCCCAGAATAACCCAGCTGGGAAGCCACAGGTTACAGGCCTGCAAAGACCCACTGCACACCCCAAGCCACATGTGCCTGCCTCCCTCACAGCCCAGCCTCCCATCCCTCCTTGGGACCCTCTCTACCCAGCATCCGGTCCTCATGGTGCCTTTCTCTCTACAGGTTCTTTCAGAGCATGGCTATGGCCCGATCACGACCGACATCCGGGAGGGACAAACTTTCTACTATGCGGAGGATTACCACCAGCAGTACCTGAGCAAGAACCCTGACGGGTACTGCGGCCTGGGGGGCACTGGCGTGTCCTGTCCACTGGGTATTAAAAAGTAATTTCTCCCCATGTGGTCAGCGCTTGAGGTCACAGCAAAAATGCTTTCAACAAATTGGGCAATTCTTTTGTGGTTCAGGTCAGCAGCTTTTCAAAGTACACAGAGCACAAAGGCATTCATAAAAATCTGGTTTAATGAGGTGTAATTTACATGAAGTGCAATGAATGGCAAGTTGAGAACATGCAGTTTATCTTCTGATAAATTATGGTGGGACTAGAACTGTGACCTATTGGGGTCTGAATGAGGATAATGAGTATGCTTTGTTCCCCCTGCTTGGGCCGGGACGCCTGCCACAGAAGCAGGAAGGAAGCTGGGAGATTGTCGGACAGGATGAGGCACGTCGGACACCCTTTATCTGTGCCCTTTCCCACCTTACCTGCCCTCTGCCCTCCAGTGCCTTAACATCTGCAAACATTTATAGCCTCAATGAATCATTCACTGCAATACTTTGCTCTTCTGATCCTGTATGTGTAAGGGGCTTTCTCTCCTTTTCTGCCCTCCCATGGCAGAGAAAAGATGTGAGTTAGCTTGACGAATTCAAACACTTTGCTTACAGCTATGAGAAATGCTTGTTCTAATAAAAGTTTACAATCCAATACAAAGTGCCTCATGTCTCATCTGTCTTTTACTTTTAGGTAGGATATTTCTAAGTATTATAAGACAAAACCCTCAAAATTCCTTTCCCCCAAATGGAGAATATGATTGAAATTTTCAAGAACCATGTACGCCTCCGGCTCCTTTCAACTTCAGTGATAATAGCTGTTTTCCACACGCCTGTTCTGTTACAGCCATCACAACAGGCACTATTATAATTAGACACGTGCAATTCTTGCCCTTAAGAGTCTTTATACCCAAGACAAAGGGTGGTGGACCTAAGCAATGTCATCACATGAACAAATCAGATAATCACAGGTCCTGACAAATGATATGAAAATGATAAACAGGATAAGCTGTATCTAGGGGCTGTGGAGTTACACACAGAGGGGTTTTGGTTACATTGGTCAGGGAAGGCCTCTGTGGGGTGGAGAGACAAGTTAACTGATGCAAAGAAGAAATATAAACACAAGGGAAGAGGGCAGAGCTTTGGGGCAGGAGACAGATTAAGAAATACATTGTTCCCCATGAGTTTAGCATATTTATTTTCCCTCTTGGATTTCCTCTGTGCCCTAAGCCATTGTGGAAAAATTAAAAATAGAAATGTCATGTGATCTGATAATTCCACTCCTGGGTATTTACCCATACCCCAAGAAAATGAGAACACTAGTTCAAAAAAGATGTATATACCCCTGTGTTTATCACAGCATTATTTACAATGGCCAAGATACAGAAGCAATCTAAGAATCCATCAATAGATGAATGAATAAGGAGAATGTGATTGATGCCTACACACACACACACCTACATACACATTGGAATATTATGCGGCCATAAAAAATGATGAGAGCTTATCATTTGCAACACATGGACAGACCTAGAGGGTATTAGGCTAAGTTGAATAAGTATTATGCTAAGATAAATACAAATACCTGATGATTTCACTCATATGTGGAATATAAAAAAAACTAATAAAGAAGCAGAAACAGACCTATAAATACAGAGAACACAATGGCAGTTGCCAGAGGGGGAGGGGATACAGGGATGACCAAAATGGGCGAAAGGGAGTGAGAGGCTTCCATTTATGGAAAGAATAAGTCATGAGGATGAAAGGTACATGCATAGGCAATGCAGTCAATGGTATTGTAATAGTGTGGTATGGTGACAGATGGTGGCTACATTTGTGGTGAGCATTGCATAATGTATAGAGATGTGGAATCACTGTGTTTTACACTTGAAACTAATGTAACATTGTGTATCAACTATGCTTCAATTAAAAAATTATTGGGGTGCCTGGGTGGATCAGTCAGTGAAGCATCAGGCTCTGTGCTGACAGCAGGAGCCTGCTTGGGATCCTCTCTCTTCCTGTCTCTCGGCCTCTCCCCCACATGCTCTCTCTCTCAAAATAAATAAATAAACTTAAAAAATTGTTATTAAAAAGAAAAATACATAAGTGGAGTAGATATGCCTAATCAGTCTCAACATCCCCATTTTGGTTGCCTGAGGGAAAACCTTTCCAAACAGAAGGGCCAGAAGGTGTAAATTCCTTCCTCCCCAGAAGGGGGGAATTTGTAGTGTTTGAGAAATGGACAGGCCTGTAGAGCTGGGATAGTGTAAATGAGAAAGAGTATTGAAGAGAGGTATCTGAGAGGTAGGAAGAGCCAGATCATGCAGAACCTTCGAAGGACATGTTAATGGGACTTGTTTGTTCATTCTATTTAATAATTGATGGTCATTGGAGAATTTTTAAGTTTCTCTTTTTTTGTCTAGGCCGAGCAGCTAGAGGAAAGGTGGTGTTATTTGCCTGTGAAGGAGTAGACAGAGGAGACATAAGTGAATCAATCCATTTTGGCCACTCAAAATTTGAAGTTCGTCATCCTCATGGAAATGTAGGGGAGGGTAGTTTGCTGTGCAGTTTTGGAACCAGGAGGGATCCAAGGAAGAGAAATTTAAGAATCACCAGTGTATGGATGACATTTGAGGCATGAAGCTAATTTAGGTCATCTGGGGAAGGAATGTAGAGGAAGAGAAGAGGTCAGAGGATTAAATGCTGGGGTGTCCTGACATATGGAAAGATGGTAAAGAAGGAGCAAAGGAATTTGAAAAGTGACATTTGAAGGAGGCTCATAAAGGAGATGTGTCCTTGCAGTGGAAACTAGGCACAGACATATGCCCCAAGAACTGAATAATGATCTGAATGACGCAAAAGTGAAATGCAAATGATACATCATGAGTCGGGGTTAAATTCAGACCAAATTTTTTCTACATTCATATCAGACCATAATGAAAAATGACAAGGAAACCAGGTCCTTTTGAGGAAGGATCTTGCAGCATTTCAGGAGGTATATGCTTTGAATTTTGCCCTAAACCTTCCCCAGAGGAACATGGGTGCCTTTTACCAAAGTGACTCTTTATTCAAGAAGTGGAAATAACCCAGACTCTCCTTGGAGTTATTACTTCCTGGCTATAAACTGACGTTTTGGGAGACCTGCCACCATGGTCCTGAGAAGGGTGGGATTTATAAAGACTGATGGAGTGTTATTCTAAGTCTATCTCACAGTGTGTCTAGCGAGTGTGAATAACAAGCTTGAAGTTCTTTCCTCACTCCCAGTATGCCTAGTGTGTATTAACTACGTTTATATTAACTATGTTAATTATGGAACATTAACTATGTTCCTAGCTTCTGTAAACTGAGATGCTTTAACATCTCCCTGCATGCATATGTTAGACATGCCTTGTCTGGACAACACTATAATATGCTTGAGCCACCTTGCCTTGGCTTCCTGCCTCCTTTGTCACTCTGCTTCTCTCTGGGAGGAGTCTTCCTCCTGGAGGTACTTTTCCACATATAAACTGACCAAGCCAGAGTTCACACCCCATCCACTGCCTTTATCAGGCTCTCACACTGAAGACCACTGTCTACCTGCCCTAATCAGGGTCACCAGGTACCAGACAACTAGGGACAGCTCCTGTGCCCCAGAGCTAGCTAAAATTATTAAAATGAGCTAACCCTAAGTCGGCTTACCCTGCTTCACCCATTCCTTCCCTTGGGAACCACAATAAAGACTCTAGTCCACATTTCCCCCCTCTCCCTCTGCCTCTGCCTCCTGATAGACCCTGATGCTTATCCTGGTAGCCTCCCTATGGCATTTTAGTTCCCTGATTCATGGAATAAAGATCCCCAGACTTATCCACTCCCAGTAAAGAAAAAATAATATCTGTGAGGGAATTTAAAATAGTAGTGGCACCAGTAGCAAAGTCAAATGATTCAGAGGTTGAGATTAGTGCACATCCCGTTTTGTTCCTGTTTGGCAGATATTAAAGCTAAATAGGTCTTGGGAAATGAATGTAGATTATTATACACTTAATGATGTGGTACAGCAGATATATCATACTTACTAGAACAAGTTAATGTAGCCACTGGCACCTAATATGTAGGTATTTGCCCAACAAAAACTTCTTCTCTATCTCTACAAGTAAGGATCATCAGAAGCAGTTTGCCTTCACATAGTAGGGTCATCACTGTATCTTTGCTGTCCTGTCTGAAGGCCATGCCAATCTACTTTATGTCATGTTTAGTCCAAAGAAGCCTTGATCATTTTGACATCTCACAGAACATCAACTGATTCATTGCACTGTTGACATTAGATGAATTGGATTTGGCAAGCAGGAAGGAACAAACAGCCTAGACAGTGAGAGATTTTACCCCAAAAAGTTCAAGGACTGCCACATTGGTTAAGTTTCTAAGTATCTGGTGATCTGGAGCATGAGAGACAAGTTACTATATTTTGGACTACCCATCATGAAAAAAGAGACAAAATATTTTGTGGACCTCTTTGGGTTTGGGAAACAACAGATAACCACATTTGGGTGATTTGAACTATGTACTGGATAAGTCACTAGGTTTGAGATGGACCCAGAACAAGAAAAGACTCTTCAGAAGATCCAAGCTGAGCTACCAGTCACCTTTCCAACAGCAGTCCTTAATGTATTGAACATATCTGTGGCAAACAGAGATGTTGGATAGAAATTCTGGCAAACCCTAGTAGGAGAATCACAGTGAAGACTCTAGGGCATGAAGAATATAGCTGTGTCTTCTTCCCTTCTGCATTGAAAAGTAACTCCTGACTTGCTACTAGGCCCAGGTAGAGAAGTAAGCAACTCAAGTTATCTATCAAACCCTAGGTACTCTGATTATCTGAATCACAAAATTGAATGTGCACAGCAGTAATTTATTGTTAAGTGGAAATTGTATATATGAGATTGGGCTCCGGAGCAGATTTAGAAAGCATGAATAAACTGCAAGATGGGTGGCTCAGAATCACATGATGCTTACTTTAATTTATTCATTACCTTACCTTTAATCCACACCTTTGACCTCATAGGCTGTTTCCTCTGACTAGGAAG